GTGTGTCTGTCTGTCTCTGTGTATTGCCCCCAACCCTATGGTCCAAACTCCATAGGATTGCGCACTCGCATCGTCTCTGGAGATGAGATGATGGGATTGTATTTGTGTCCACTCTTGCACTACAGTCACCACATTTCACCGCTCAGACAGACTCAACACAATGCGGCTCAAGTCCTTTTACCGTCCGATCTTATCCTAATAACGAGGCTCTCCCGCAGTCATTCAACATTAAATATTAATTTTTGTCGCATTGAACTCATCCTCAGGGATGCAAACCCAAAGTGATGTGCACTTCAGTGCATACTTCTGTACAACCCTTTAATCGGCTGTCAGTGAAGTGCGGCTCTCGGGCTCTTAAAAGCGTTTGTATGCTATGTTTCATAGACTTAAGATTCTTTAAGTTACATGTATTATAGTCACACATTGAGCACTCCGTCTGTGATTCCCTGTTATATGCTCTCAATCTTGTCTAACAGATAACAATCATTTCCCATATGTTACACAAAGAATAACACATCATACAAAACATTTTGTTTTAATTTACTTTATTATATAATTTTATTATTATTAAGTTTATCATGATAATTGTAATTGTAATGGCAAACTACATATAAATCTTTTTTGTAAGATTTAGTTATAATCTCTTATCGATGTTTTGTTCTTTTTATAATCTGTCTCTTATTGAACTTCTTTAATATAATATTATAGTAAATGACAAAATAAATTTTACGCAAATTACAAATGTATTTACTTGTGGATATAAATTAATCCATTTAATTGTTTAATTGCTTACATATTTAAAAAGTGAAAACTTTTGTTTCAAAATATACTATTATTATAACAAGCAGTGAGCAAAAACTAAATCACAACTCTTAAAACTTTCTCAAAACTTTTTAGCTAACTCCAGATCTATTCAATCGGGTTAAACAAATGTTTGGTTCGGGTCATATCAAAGACCTAACAACAAACCCAAAACCAAAAGCTCTTTTACCATTACCAAACATAAATACGAAACTTAAAATAAATCTATAAGTCAAGCATATTTCAATGGCTACTATACAAAACATAGCCAATACTTTAATTGAGTTTTCATATACAATTTATAAAAATCTAGTTTATAATTTATAAGTATTAAATCGAGTAAATAATAAATAATATATTGAGCTAATTGTGATAAAATCAATAAAACTGAATTACTAATATTTTACATTAAAATTTATTTGTATTTACACAATTCAATCAAAATCACTAAATCACACATTTTCAAACATTAACACCAATGTAAAATAACAAAATCGAAATTTACTAGCTCACCTAATAAACATAATATAATAGCATGTATTCGATATATGGTACAAATTGTACATGGTACAATGTACTGTATATGGTACAATACAACAAATGTAAATTATTGGCCAAACAGAAATTGATATACAGTACTTACAAATAAAGCATTATTGTAGTTTAAAAAGCTTACCGCTATTTTTGTGACAATAACTCATGTGGTGATGGTAAGGCCAACTTAAATTCATGACAATATAAGTAACCAGTATCATGATAATTTCAAATTCTCATTCATAATGAGTTATTATACAATTTAATTATGGTGAGAATAAATTCATACAATTTAAAGTACCCATACTAAAAATACTTACCGTATATAAAAAAGAATAAAAGTACCGTATAACAATTATAAATTTAAATCATGATAATTGTAAATTTAAATATTTTATTTGTTTTAAATTCATCAAAATATTTAATTATCCGTAAAATGACTGATTTCGCTATAATTAGGATAACTATTTGCAAACTCATTGGTTTTATCGCCCAAATCGTCACACAATTGCACGTCTATTTCAATCAACATTCAAAACATTTTTAAAAAATTCATTTAAAATATTGTGAAAGTAATACCGCTTTGATCGTAATGTATGTCAGACAGCCATAACCCTATGTATAATACATTTTTAATTGTCATATAATGGTTAACATAGTTTGTAGCAAAACGACTAATACCATTGGCCGGCGCTACTGTTTGGCTAAACTTCCAGTTCTTAGGGCACGGGTTATTGAGAAGCCATTCGATGTGATTGTATTTGAATCGATTGAGTCCCACATCTATAATACAACCTATCATTCGTCTAACCTTTTATCAAATAATTTTGCCATTAATAACAATATATTTTTAAAATCAATACTTTTCTAAATACCTGATTGTATAAAAAAGATTTGCTTTTGATTTCAAAACTCCATAAACTTATTTGAGGTATAGTCTGATTACTCGTATGAATACTTGAATCCAAACTTTTTGATTGGCTTACATTGAATTCAATGATTGTCTTATTTGTATTATTAACTATTTGTTTCTCTCCGACAAGTTTTGGTGTGAATGAAGCGAAATCGTGGTCTCCTTTAAATAAGTCGAC